TTATTCAGCATTTCTTCTTGCCAAGAAGTTTTCTTCCACCAAATGTTATGTTTGCTCTATCTCTTCAGTCCTCATTTATTATCTTGTATTTTTCAGACTAGAAAAGACATTTCATTCCTCTGCTAATATTAGCTCTTCATACTTGCCGTGGAATCATCTGCCTGTCAAACTGGTGCTCGCAAACATCTTGATCTGGTATATTTTAAAAATTCAATTAATTTGCCCTTTACCTTGCCTTTTCCGATCACGAATAACGCCAGCGGCCCCTCACCCCACACCTGCACTCGCTGTCTTGCTTTTCATTATTGCTTTGTGTTGACAGCTACGCAGCCCCTTTTCAATCTTCCTCAGCTTGTAGCCAGCCTGAGATAAATTAATTTTTGAAATAAGATCCCGAGGCACTATATAAAATGCTCATTACAGTGTATTGCTTCATGTAAGTTTCCATTACTCTCCAGTTTGCTTCTAAAAAAGCACTCAAGCTCTTGGGACGCTATTTGCTTTAATAAACCCAAACCATTTGCTGTTCAGGATTCACTTGCCTGGATACTCACAGATTCATCACATATGCTCTGTATTTTCAATAAGGATTGAAAATTAGTCCATTGAAAGCAAGCATTCGGTTAATATCCCAAACGCATTTTTATTCTATATTTCTTTTGGTATGAGACAAAATTTTCAGGGGAAAAATATGTTGGGATCTGGACTGCCCACCATTTAGCTTTACTGACTATTGTATATTCAGTCGTCCCAAACTAGTCTTCCCCTGCTTATAAAGAGGTTTTCGGACAATTTCATGGTTAATTTTGAACTGTGTTTAGCTCATTCTTTTCCCAAGGAATAATGTTAGGAAGGAGACTTTGGCTTTCTGAATTTTGAGAGCCCTGTGGCTCCAGCCACACACGGGGTAGAGCCTGGACAAGGTCTCTGCATCCCACAGCCCCCATGAATGCACTGGAAAGACACAGGCTTTGCATTTTGCTCACATGCGAATGAATGAAGGGATAAACCTTAAGTTAGCCCCCAGAATTCTGAAAAAAATCAGGTTATGTTGGGCACTGCTGGAACTCATTAACCTAAGGCAGTCTTTTTTTTTTTTTTTTTTTTTTAACATGGTACCAAAGCTGACTCACCTCGAATGAACATTTTTTACAGCGTTTCTTGGAAAGTTATATCAAGCTGATTGCTGAAGTTGTTTATGTATTGTAGCTATGTATGCAATTTTACAGCTATGTAAACATACTCTATAATAAAATTGTACATTCAAATTGCAGCTATATAGTTTAATGGGCTGCTCTATTTTTCTTCATATTGTATCTCCAGCCGTGCATTCAATGCATGCAAAGTGATTTCCTGGCATATGAGCTTTAAAGTCATCAATGCACCAAAGAGCTGTGAGTTAAACACAGCGCAAGTGACTACCGCGTTGGTGCTAGAATAGCAAACCATAACGAAAACTGCGCCGCTCTGCAACTGCAAACTTATGGCTTGATTCACGCGGAGGGGCTGCGGGCCTGTGAGGCGGGATGATTAACTGCACACATTTGGCTGCTGAGGTTTTCCCCCTCTTGTTTTCCAGGCTTTCTGCAGCAAAAGTTGTTAGCGCAACGTGTCATTGTAGCAACCTCTTAAGGTGCAGGAGAGGAAAAGGAGGTTGTTCCCGAGTGGAATGCAATGGAGAAATGGCAGCTGTTGTGCGCTGAAGAAAAAGGGTCTTTGCTTCTCAGGAGACACTGAGAGCATTTTCGATAACTCCAGCTGTGGGAGTGCGTGATATGATGGGCTTCGTAATTAGGAATTCTGCTGAGCTTCTTTCATCCTGCCTTTAAAACCCTTGCAGCATTTAGACTCAACTTTGCAGAACCTCAGAGCAAGAGCCTGTGCTTGCAGCGCCGACTCAAGCTGGGGCACAGCACTTTCCTTTCAACAGGCAATCCAAGCACTGCACAGATATCAAACGTGCTGCTTAATTTCAGTTTTTAAGACAGCAGTTAAATTTTCTATCTATCCCATGCCTTGGCTCCCATTGGGAAAGCAGGAAAGGTGCACTAGACGCTGCTCGTGGAGTTTTCCAAGATCCCGCACAAGCAAAGCCGTTTAACCGCGCCACATGCACGGGAGAGCGGCAGAGCGCCCGCGGCAGCGACATGTCGCAGCGCAGCAGCGTGTAAATACTGAGTAACACACAGAAGTCAGCTCCACAGATGGCACTGACAAAAAAAACAGACGCTTTGGCTGGAAACACATTTCAGAGAATACTCAGCAAAAACTGGAAAATACACAAATCCAACGGGGAAATCAGTGAATAATCTGCTAGGAGGAAATCCCAGCTTCTATCAAGCATGGGGATTAGAAAGATATTTTTAAACCAACGAAGCATAAGCTGTGCTAAAAGAGTGAATCTGGAGATTTTTTTTTCCTCAGCGTCACACGCTGGCGTGCTAGAAAGAGACCCGCTCTCTGCCTTGCAAGCCAGCTCAGATGTGTAATTCACGATGCTGAACTCTGCAGGATGATTTAATATCGTCCTCGTAACCGTTACTTGCTGCCCGAGGCCTTTCTGGAGAGCAGATCGAACAGACTTGCAGACACAGCGTCCCATCGGAGGGGCCACGTGGACTCCGTTCACTTCCTGCCTCTTCCCTCTGCAAATCGGCTGCACAATTCGGGCACAAAAGCTCCCAGAGCAAAGATAGAGAGGATTTTGTTAATCGGGATTTGTGAGCACCGAGCTACTGGATTAAAAATCCGGAATCAATCTCTGTCACCACATTTTCCCCTCTCCTTCGCAGAAACACGGGACTGGCGCACGCAGGAAAACGCGGATATTCACCCCCCTGCAAGTAGCTATTGGCAGGAGGGGCACGAGGCGCACGGGCCACCGTCCTGCTCAGGCTGCTCCACAGCGGCAGTTTTCTGTGATTTGCAGAGAGACAAAGTTAGAAAAAGGAGAAAGGAAAAAGATAACCCCCCTGTGTGAAATGTTTCGGTGAACGGGAGGATGCAGGGGAGGTCACGGCGGTGGGATGGGAAGCAAATGGAACACGGTGCCCTTCGCATGACTGTCAGGACAGCGTTTCCAGAACATTTCCAGCCAGCAGGAGAGCTCACAACCTCTCCTCATCCCACAACATATTTAACGGTTATCCTTTCCATGGGCCGAGACACATGGAACCTGTACATGCCGGACAATTCTGACTTCCGAGTGTGTGATCCTTTAAACAGGGTGTTTTTCCATACAAGTAGCATTTTTCACCCACGGAAATGGAAGTGCTTTATCAAGTGAAACAAATATTAATCGGATCTTTCATACAGAGTTACTAAGACATAAGCACCAAGTTTCTGGCTCGGTACGATTTCCTTAGCTTCCTTCAGAATAACGGGTGTCTGTGCGGATCAGGACCAGAGCACTCTCCAAACGCCACACAGAAGGTAAGCTGGAGAGCAGAGCCTTCCAGTCACCACCATCTCCGGGGCAGACAAGTTCACAAGATCAAAAAGCCTTATGGAAACTACCTCTCAAGTGTATAATACGGTGCAGCTGAGATGTGCACAGGGCCATGCGAACCCCAACAAGGGTAACAGGCTTCCAAATCCCTCACCGGTCTTCGGGAAGCCCCTTCCCCCGTGCTAGAAAGGCAGCAAAGCAGCGCATACGCAAAGCGATAGAAAGAGCAGAGATTAACACAGTGAACAGTATGTTTAGAATTGCAGAGTTGTTAACGTAGATTAAAGAGCTTGAGACGTTAATCCCAGGCTGAGGGACTCGTTTTCCTGACGGATCCACGCGGCTTGTCTCCCCTGGCGCTCAGGAGCTCTGCCGAGCGGCCCCGCACGGTGCAGACCCCACGGCGAGGGCGGCCCCGCTGCGGCCCGGCCTGGACGCGCTTGCAGAGACCGCGCGCGGAGGCAAAAGCAGCTCGCGAGCACCCTGACCACGACGAGCGTCTCCCTGGCATCTGGAGAGGCTGGGAAGAGCAGAGCAAGGTGCCGGCCAGCGCACTTGGCGCTCGGAGAGCATCGCCCCGGAGAGACGGGCACGGGGCCAGCGCGACGCGCGGCTCCGCTGCGGCCGCCCGCGCGCACGAGAAGCAGATGCCTCCTCCTCCTCTTACACCCTTCAGTTTAACCACGCAAAGAAACACCAAGGTCCACAGGCTTCTCTAAGCAAGCACCTGAAACAACCTGCCCCAGCTTGGAGAAAATCCCTGGGAAAACTCACTTGGAAAACACTTCAAAGAAAATCTCTTGCTCCTTAAAGCTAGAGAGCGTTTGGCAAAGACGGTAATGGAGAAGGTACAAGAGAAACTGCAGGGACTGAATACCACTGAGGCAATGAAATCGGATCCAGGATTTAATCACCCTTTCCAATAAATGCTAAGTTTGGGGTTTTGAGAGAATATTTCTAACAGGCTGTTACATTTCTTCACAGTGAGCAGCTGATGATGACGGATTTTGTCTAGACAGAAGTTAAAGTTTGATTTTTAAAGTGAAGTTCTATACAGTGAAAAAAAACAATCAGCACAGTGTTATTTTTGTCTTAAAGCCTTTTTTTAAACAAAACAAAGGTAAAAAACAAAACAACCAACTTTCATGGTTTTGGAAATACAGTCTATCATAAAGTTAATATTTTAAATAGTTAATATTAAACAATAGTAAAGATTGCTTTGCAGAGACAAAACAAATCACATTAGGGGTTTTCCTGAACTGTCTCTCAGTGCAGCTGGGGCCTGGGTGGCTGTTGCTCGAGACTAGTAAGAGTACAGCGTATTTGGTATGTGCAGCTTCTTTTGGTGGAGTATATTGATTTATTGTCATAGCAGAAGCAGCAAGTAGCTGGCGTTTCCTAGGGCAGGCTCCCACGAGGAATCCTCGGGCCGCAGCAGCTCCGCGCTCGGAGGGACGCTGGAAACACCTGGGCCCCTGAGAGGAGGGCAGGCGTGTTGGGTCGCCCATCTTGCCCCCTCCTGGCACCGTGTTCCTCTCCTCCCCTCTCCTGCTCAGGCGTGTTTCCTCTTTTTGAGCGCCTCCGCCTTCACGGCCAAGCTCTTCGCGCAGATGGTGAGCAGCACGATGAGGACCCCGACCAGCAGCGTGACGAGGGGCCAGAGGAAGCAGTGCAGGAGCACGGTCTCGTCGTGGGTGCGCTTAAGCATCACATCATACGGACTGCAAGGCGGGGCAAGAGCAGAGGGAGAAATAAAATAAAATAAAATAAAATAATAAAGCATCTCGACATTATCACTTCATCATTAGAGGAAGGCAGCTGCCATGAAGACAATACAAGCATTTTATTTGCAGCAGTGTTAGAAAATGATTAAGTGGGCTGCTCTCTTCCATTCATGGCATTTGTTTGCCTACCTATCATCAGCAGTCATGGTAGGCCACCAGGGCATAGCATCTGGAGTGTTTATAGACTAAAAAGTTCATTCATATGAAAAAAAAAGAAAGAATTGGTACTTTAGAAGAATTGCTCTTCTTGGGGTCAGGGTAATCACACACAGCAATGAGAGATACAATATCAGGCTGCAGACTGAAAAATGGCTCAAATGAAAACATGTAAGATGTAATTACACTTATCTGCCTCAAATGGCATTAGAAACTGTGCAATGAATTTAAGTGCAATTAGGTCTTCCCTTTTAACTACGAGCTTTGATTCAGCCATGGGGCATGTGGAGGATCCTACCGAGAGTCTCGGCTGCAGCCTGGATCTGGGCAAGGAGCCAGCCCTTTCCTTGCATTTCTGAGCGCTCTACGCATCTGACCTGATGGTTGAGGAAACTGCCCCTCAAGATCCCCCAGGGAAGTGGCAGGAGGGTGTGGGAGAACAGCAAGGTGGAGGAGGAATCTGAGGAGGCTTGGAAATTCAGACGGGCCAGAATGTCTGAAAGATCAGTTGTCCATCTGCCTCTTCCAAGTCTGAAAGGTTGGTCTGGAAATCTGATGGCAATTTTTCCTCATGTCTGGCTCTTTCTGCTTTGCCTGCAGTTTAATAGAGTTATTAAATCAATCTCATGGCACTTGCACTTTTCTGCTTTTTTCCTCATCTAGAGTCAGAGACGTAGCTTGCTGAAAAACTGTCTGTAAAAGAAGGACACAGAACTTTTTTAAATTAGGAAGAGCACATTGTCCAGACTCGTGCTAGCTTTCTGTTGGTTGCTTATTCCAGTCTCACGTGGCTTCGTCAGGGCAACCTGATGCCCCTCAGCACAGGGAACGCCGCAGCCCACAACTCCTGCAGCCCAGATCCCGGGAATTCAGCTCCTACTAAGTGCGTGCCTGTGCGAGCAGGTTCACGTGCAGGACTGCAGCCCTCAGGCCACGAGTGCTCCGCGCTGCTCCGAAAGTAGCACTGTGAAAACACTCCCTGACAGGGCAACAGGAAGAAACCCTTTTCCTATACTGGGAAATTAATGGAGAGTGTGTAAATCTGCAGATGTGCTTCTTTCCTTAACTGTACAGTGACAAACAGAGGAAGACTCTGCTTGTGAGTAGCTCAGCAAGATAAAAGGTGAGGCTTGGTAATGCAAAAATCAATTGAAAGAAACCCAGGTGCATCCAGGAGGAGGATGTGAAGTTTTCTCACCTGAGATCCTCCAAACACATAGTCAGGCACATGCGGAGACCATAAATTGAATAAAATGATATTAATTTTAGGTGCACAGACTCACCAGTTTACGGTATATAAAGGTTAGCATGCAAACAGAAGATGCTTTCACAGGAGGACTAATACTGCTTTCCTTGTATTTACTGTATCATCCTCTGTGAATAACAGCAAGCTAATTGGCAGTGAGACCATAAACAGATTTATGTGCTTTCCCCTTATTTTTGTACTCTTCGATTAGTATTCACTCACAAGATAAGTTTAGTTTAAGTATTTGTTCTTAAGTTTAGAGCTGAGAGGATTGAACGCTAGCAGGCTAGAAAATTAGATTCAATTAGAGAGAAAAAAAACAAAAAGCATGATTAGCAAATATCTGTGCCAACCACAGCAGCATTGCATAGCAGCAAGGAGTTATAAACACTCACTGTAGGTAGGAATTTACCTCCTGGAACTTGGCAATCTAAAAGAGTTTCCTTCTTGGAAAAGAGTCAGAGACTTACAAAGACCCTCAGTGAAGCCACAGGTTGAGTGCTGTTCTTAGACAGGTATTATTAGCTACAGCAGCCTTTTCTGTACAGTTCATGCAATGCAGAAGGGAAGGCAGCAGTTTACTGCTGACTTTGACATTGTGCTTCCAGCAAACGTGTTAGGGTCATGCTGAGGCCCCCCAAAATGGCACTCACTGCGTAGCTACCGGCACCACACTGAGGAAGGCGAACGCAAGGGAGGAGGGTGCCCCTGCTGCACTGCCTGGCAGCGCTCCCGGAGACGATCGCTCGCTCCGGGATGGCAACATCCCCATTATCTCCCTGCAACAGCCCCAGGAAACGTATCGGATTGACTGCCGCGGTGCACGATGCCAGGGCTCAGCCTTTGCATAATCCCCTCCCTCCCCCTCTGGGAGCGGCTCGTCTGTGGCTACACCTGCAGAGCACGAGGATTTCACGAGGGAGGAGTGGGGAGGTGCCAAGGCAGCTCCAAGAGGCAGAGGAGGATGGGAGTTGGCGCAGACGCTGCTGCAGTCGCAGGTGAAGGCGCCCGGAGCCCTAACCAGCCCATCCATCACAGAGGCTGTCGGCAGGTAGGGAGAAGGCTCTGGAAAATAGCTTAAGGCAACAGAGGGCCCCCTGAGATGCAGCTTTTGCAACAGAGGGAAGTGCTTAAAGAGGGGCAGTTGAAAAAAGAAAAACCGTTTACTCTTCCTTTCACGACAACTCCTTTTACACCTGCTCTTTGGTGCTGAGATTGCAAACAGGAAACAGCAGCTGCCAAGGCGGAGATGGAGAATCCCTTCTGCTCCCTGCACGGCGCAGGTCGCTCGGGTCCGCGCGGCACCGCGTTACGCCACTCCGCACGCTCCGGGCCACCGGGGAGAACAGAAAGTTGAGTTAGGGAAGACACGAAGAAAAGATGGAGGGAGTTTTAAAGCAGACCATCTGGGCAGCAAAGCTAGAGCAACACCCCAAAGAGCCCCAACACGCGGCACGTCGCACCGCACTTGTGAGTTGGATGAGGAGACACTGTACAGAGCGGCTGCAGGGACGAGGCCTCCTCTGCCATGGAGAGGCTGGAGCCCCGGGGGCTGCGCAGCTCCCCAGGAAGCGCATGCAGAGCAGGGGGAATCATCCCAGCCCCAAAACACTGCGGCCTCTCAACGAGACAAGCAAACTCAGCATCCTGTTTTCACACAAATGAGGTGATACCCCCGGCCCAGCAGCCAGGACCATGGTATGTACCAGTGTGCGTGGCAAGGAGACCCTCTGGCCACAGATCTGAAGAATGGCTGTGTTTGCATTTGTTTTCATGCGTGACACTTTGTGCCAAATAAAACAGTATGTTATTTCATGCAAGATCAGTAAGCTCCAGGAAAACAGAATGGGGAGAAAGGATATCAAGGGGGAGGGGTGTTGTGATCAGAATTAATCAGATGAATTAAATACAGAAAAGTCATTAGTGATTAATTAGCAGGTTAGTCTATAGAGGCCAGATTTCACTTCTTCCAGGCTACTTGTTCTCCATATGTGACTGGAGGAACTATTCTCCATCTCCTAAAGAAATTAATCATTATGCAGAGAAGAAACCTTACCATAAACATGACAATCTCTGAAGGAATCTGTTAGGTATCCTCAGAGAGGACTGCTTGTGGTAAAACAGCTGTCTATGGAAATTTGGAAATATGGAAAACAAACAAATACCAAATGTTTGGGGACAACCCCCAGATAATCACAGAATGGTTGAGGTTGGAAGGGACCTCTAGAGGTCATCTAGTCCAACCCCCTGGAGATGGAACTTCCTGTGTTTCAGCTTGTACCCATTACCCCAAACTTGCAAGATAACTTGCAAGATATTCTGGGAAAATAAGAAAAAAAAAAGACAGGAAGAAAAGGGATATGAAATTAAATCTGCTTGTAAAAGATACTCAGAGGACTCAGCAGGACTCCATGGTCCTCTCCTGGCCCGTGGGCCACAGCCCAGGTGCCAGAGCAGCTCACTGCAGGATGAGCAGCACTAATCATTCACTATTGAAAAGGAACGCTGCAGCAGCCCAGCTTAGGGTTCAGGGTGCATTGAAACAGTTCTGGCATTCCAGTGTGAAAATCTCTGGCTTTCACCCCAAGGCACATGCAGCAGGAAGTGAGGCTGTACTAACTTGAGAGAACTGCGCATGATGCACGTTCGTGAATCAGAAGCATAGACACGAAGGCACCCATCTCGACGAGCACGGACAGGGGAAAGCAAACCCGCTCGCGGGGACCCACCACACTTTGTGGCCCTGCACTGCTACTCCTGAGCGCGGGCATCACGGCTGAGCCGTGACACGAGAGCACACGGAGCCAGGAGTCCAGGGGAGCTCCCAGGCTGTGCTATGGGTGTCCTGGGGCCATGAAGGAGACCACCAGAAGTTCACAAATCCCACACACTGCTGGGTCTTCAGGAGAACAGTCCTGTAGTGATTATTACCTGCACACGAAAGAGAAACCCACAGTGTCTGGAAAATCATGCAAGCACCAAGGAAAGCTACACAGAGTCCACCAAGGTAGAAAACACTAGATGGAATCACTGAATTCCACCTCTAATTCCATTACTTTCATCAGCAGCTGAAACAAGGCAAGCAGGAGGTACAGAAGAGCCCCAGAGGTGCTGAGGGAAGGCAGGAAGCAGCAGAGGAGGCTACAGAAGTGGGCAGAGGGAACAAGAGGATGGTGGCAGGGGGTAGAGAAAAAATATGTGAAAACACACATGGCAGACAGCAAAAAGGAGAGAAGGCTGTACTTCCATGTGCATCTGAGAAGAGAAACACAACTCTGGTTGGTGCAGTGAAGGCAGAGGCCAAACCGAGACCCTTCCTTCCCTTTCGCCGAGCAGGCGATGAGGGGCGGAATTCTGTTTTGTTTCTGAAAGGTGGAAAGTCCTGCGTATTTTTAGCAGGACTCTGAGCTCAGGGTTGTGACCTGCCGGGGCTCTTACCAGGGCTAACTGGATTAGCCCCTGTGTTACACAACGCTTGACCACTGTGCGCTCCCAGGCAGGTCTCTGGAGAAGCTCCGGAGCAGCGTGGGAAGAACCTCACTGCGGAGGCCACCAAGGAGTCGCAGGGCTCAAGAAGCTGAAGGCACATGAGCGTGTTGGTTCTCTCTCGCTTGCCCCACTGTGCCATTTATGTGGGGGATGGATGCCAAGAGGCTAGGGGAGAAAAATGGGAGGCATCTTACAAGAATTTCTTTGCATTCAAAGTGATCTGGATTTAATGGTGTCTGCAATCTGTATACACTTACTTTGCCCACAGATAGACTTAAATGCCTTAAGCTTCACTATGACAAACATTAATTAGTACTTTTTCCTATTGTTGCAAAGCACAGAGGTTCCCCAGCTGGAAGTGAGCAAGCAGGGACTGTCTCTGCTGTTCCTTACTAGCAATTGCTCTCTGGTCCAATGCAGCCCTACAAGTAAAGGGAAGGATAAGAGAGAACATGGTCATCTGATCTAAGGGAATTAATTTCAAAAAGTTAGTGAACTACTAAAGCAAACCAAGATTGCCGTGCCTCCCTTTACAAATGAATGGTCTTGCTACCAGAAAACCATGCTGGGTGGACACAGTGAAAACACAAAATGGTGCCATGTAAAGGAGGCACAAAGGAGGAATGGCCTGACACGGGTCCCTCCGCGTGTCTCTGCGGAGAGGCAGGAACACGCCATGAGGTGGAAGGGCTGGGCCGGGAGAGCTCTTGGTGTCTTTCTTTTCTGTTGCTGCTGTTGTCAATGAGACCTTTAACTCAAAGAAAAAGTGGCAGCGCATCCTCCCGCTGGCCTGTTCCCCCAGGCCTCCCTCTCTGGGACCCCAGATGTGACCCTTGTTTGCATGAGGCCGTGACTACTGACCTCAAGTCCTCTGGCTCTCTGGAATTCTCCCGGGAAAAAGCCCGTAACACACTTAAATCCCATGAAGTCCAAAAACGCTGAAGCACTAGAACTTTGCACCTTCTCAAAATATTGACAACAGCCTGAGAACTTTTTCTTAATTTGTCATTTATTTTGTACTCTGAGTCGGTGAAGGTTGTATTCTGCTGCGCACAGTGGGGGGATCATGATGCCAACAGGCTCCACAACTAAGGATCCAGAAAAGCAACTTGTAGTGCCTGCCCCAAAGCTAACCAGGGAAAAGTGGGACACTAAAGAGAAGTGCCTGCAGTGGCAAAGCAAACCCTCAGCTTTCAGTGGTTCTCTCTCTCCCAGTTACATTGTGCTTTGGTTCCTTATGATACATGTTAGCAGCGTGCACACTGCCCTGACTTTTTTTCTTATTTTCAAAGAAGACTATCACAGTTGAGCCTCACTGAACTAAAGGGAAGAGATCCATAGCTGTGAACTCACATAAATTAGTAATTCTGAGAGTGCTACTAAGTGTCATAAAGAGGAAAAGATGTTCATTCATTGCCCAGACACTTACCTTGGATTCTATGCTAATCCTTAACAATGCAATATTAGCATGCTTAACATGGTAATATTGCAAAAACTACACTTTCCAAGGAAGGTACCACTATAGCCTGTATACTGTTCTATAGAGGCTTATATAAAACAGTTAGTTCTTCCCCACAGTCCAGAAAATACTGACAGAAAATGTGCACTGTTCCATTTTAAAGTCAGTAGATTTTCCCTTCAGTTCATGTTTCTTCCTGCTTGACAGGCTGTTTAAGTATCAGAGCTGTAAAAGTGTACCTAAGCAAGCACATTCCCAGTCAGCAGGACTTACATTTCAACACTCATTCCTCTCTGCAAAAGGAAATAGATGGCGTACACATTTTAGCTTAGACTATCTTCAAGCATCTTTGGCAATGAGCCAAACTTCTGCTGTATATAAATTGCTGTTCGATCAGCAAAATGCAAAGTGCTTTAAGGCTGCCACAGTGTTTGGCAATAAAATTTAACACTATGGGATACGGCACCACTAAGGAAAAATACCATGCCAGAGTGCACAATGCCTTTGGTCAGCCCTGGTGGTGCTGGGCTGCGCGTGACCTTGTGGTGAGTTTGTCCCCACTTCACCCGCAGACGTGATGTGACAGTCACCTCAGCCAGCTCTTCACCCCTGCCACGGCGCTGCACCCTGAGCACCACCCTCAGCTCCCACTCAATTTGATAGTCCATGCAGAAACTAGACACCTCAGAGCATGTTCCACCTAACCTGAATTAGGCATTTATACTGGCATAAGATAAATTGCTCCTATTTCCCCTCAGTGATTGTAAAATCTCACTTCGATCTTGCCCCACCTCCTCACTTCCTCCCTGCAATTCCTAGTAAATCCAAATATCTGATGTCAACACTCCCCAGAAAAGCCCTGGATTAGACTAATAAGCCCTGTGTTATTTCCACCTGAACCTCCCTCATCTGTACAATTTCTAAGTTCTTGCAGGATAGGACTCCCTTCTTCCTTTAGGCCCTGGTACTGCAGACATTTACACAAGTGCTGAACTTGGATACCCAGAGGAGTCTCCTCGGCTCTAACACAATTACTCAGGCTGATCAGCTTTAGCACGTGTCACATGTTTGCAGATTTGGCGTCTAAATCCCATAAAATCTTGGCTGATCTGGAGATCCCAGGTATTTCCTTTCCACCTGTCAGTTGACACGGACCTATGAGCACACACACATTTCCTGAACTCCCTCCAGCACGTCTGCATGCTGCAGCCACAGCTAAGCTGGAGCCAGCACGTCATCTTCATTTCCCAGTACACCACTATCAGAGAGAGAGACAAGTGAGAGAAGAGAAATCCCTCTTCTTCCCACTTACAGAGGGAAGCAAACCACACAAAACCCTCGGTACGTACGCAAGTCGCATCGTAAGTGGTAGTAAAAGCAAGAGTCAACACAGAAGCCAGATGCTTTAAGCTACAGCTTTCCATTCTGAAAGTATGAATAAAAAGTGGTAATTCTAAAAATGTTCTGTAATCACATCCGATTCATTAATTGTCTATGAATTCAATTCCTGAGTAAGTTTGTACTGTTTATTGGTCTCTCTTTTTCTCCAGCTCTTTATTAACACAGCAGGATTTCTTTCCTCCTGGGGGAACAAACATTAATATCCAAGTCAGCAAACTGTCACCTGGGCGTTAAAAAAAAAAAAAAAAAGCTTTTTCCCATAGAATGGAATGTTTTAAGCAAGAATTTCCCTGAAGATTTATATTTTTTCTTCAAGGGATAAAGAGGATAAAGATACCTTTTCACTTTTTGTGATGTTGTTCAATAGTCAGAACTGCCTTAATAAAATACTTGTCTAAAGTAAGTAAGCATATACAATAAAATATACCACTACATATTTGCATATATATATATATACACACACACATGCATACACACAGCTATATATATATATTTTTTCAAACAGAACCAATGGACAGCTGTTAAAAAGATGCATAGATACTCCAGACTATGCAAACGTAGGTGATTACTTACCTTAAGTGCTGGTTGAAATAGCACGTAAATGGTTGCGAACCCACTTTCTCTTTCCAGTATTTCTGCTTGTACGTGACATTCTCAGAGTTCTCCTGATCGTCTCTTGCACAAGGAGGGATGTACGAACACTGTCAAGACATGTTGCAAAATGGAGTTACTTCTACACTCACAAACACAAGGCATCTCTTTCTCTGCTTTCCTCGTAATATTATTATTATTAAAATGGACAAAGAATAATTAGTACAAGCTTCAAAAATGTAAAGAACAAAAATACATCTGAACTTTCCTTGAATTGTTAGTTACTGCTTACACGTACTGGAAAAGAATCTATGAGTATTCAGAAATAAACTAAAGGTTTTATCATGTCTTATTCCCTTATCTAACCAACCTGCCAATTAACACCCTGTTGTTTTGCATGATGAATGCAAAAATGATTCAGTTTTGAGTTATTTCTGTTCAGCTGCTTGGATTGTGTTTGAATACAGTCCTATTTGCAGGAAGGCATGCAATCAAAAGTTTCATTTAGGACTAGGCTAATAAATAATCAAAATATGCCCACAAACTTCCCCAGATGTTGATATCTGCTGGTGAGTGATGGATTTTCTTCCAGTTTTACAGCATGTGGAAACAAGCACAGAAAGCTAAAAATCCTGTTCCAGCAGAAAGGTTCAGTATCTGCTTCAACCGTTGGAGTCAGTAAGATGGGAGTGCGTGGTGAGCTCCCAGCCACAAACATCTGCTTCAAAGCCACGGAGATGGAGAGAAGCCCTCCTGCCGACGGTGCATTTCAGACTGGGCTTTTACAGCGTCAGCTCTAGATTGCAGGGAACCCTCCACCCTTCCTTCCTACCCACTAGGAATTTAAAACAGAATAAAACAGAATAAAATCAATATTCATTTGAATGTAATTCTGTAAGTACCCCAATGTTCGAGCACTGTTCCTCTTACTGTTATTAGGCATCTGCAGGAGATGATTAAAGGAGATCATTAATGGAAATGTTATTCCAAAGTGAGTGATACTGCTCAACTTATCTTCAGTATCCTGGCTTTTCATGCAGGAAGGGGCACAGGCAGCAAGGCCCAAAGGGCACAAATAGTAATATGTAATTTCTTTAAAATAAGGAGCTGTAAGCACAAAATAAGTGACTGGGAAGGTAGCTATGAAGCCTCCTACTTCTAGGTAGAGTGAGGAAGCAGGAGATGCCAAGCATGGGAAACCCCTACAGGAATCCTCACATGCGATGACAAGGAGGTTTCTTTGCAGCATCTGGAAGCCGTAACAACAAGGAGAGATTTGCCCTCCCTAATCTGAAAATAAAGATCACCAGGACAAAAAGGTCTGACTGGCTGGTGAGAGCTTTCCTCTCCCTTTTCATCTGGGGAGTTTTCACAGACCTACCATGCCCCTAGCTGCACACCAAGTCCAGCTCTGTGGAGCTAGAAGCTGATCTCCAGCATAAAGCAGCCTGAAGCTCTTGAAGCTTTGCCAATCCAGGATAGAAGAAATCTCAGGATTTTATTGGCTTGATCATGTAAAACCTGACCACTTCTGTCAGTACCTTCCATAGTCCAAACTGCAAATTTTCACTTGTTGCTGTCAAGTAGAAACTCACTTTTTTTTCCCCACAGACAAGTGCCCCCATTTTCACAGGAGCCCACGTCTCGGGGGGCTATGGCACAGAGCTCCCTTTAAATCCTTGATTGGATCATCCTAAAACAGGATACCTCTGCTACTGACAACTAAAAAAATAAAAGAAATAGCACCACTCAAAAAAAGAAAAAACAACAACAAACAACATAGAATTCAGAATCAGGATTTTTCACACACCGTTATTTCATTTTATGCATTTTCCCCTCCGTTCCCAATGCCTGAGCACATCTGTTCAGCAGCTGGGCCAAGCTAGCAAAGTTGGCACATAAACACCCGAGTGCAGTGCTGGCTCTGGCCACTGATATTTTCCACCATCTCACCTGGGTTCCCTCAGTCTCGCTGTGCAGGCTCCTTGGTCGAGGTGGGGTTGAGCACTCCCAGCCTTCGTGATGCTGGTAGCATTTTGGGGCATGAGCTTCCAGAGCTTTTCACAAAGTGTCCTCCAGATCATTTACACTTAGCTAGCATACAAAATGCAGAATGAAAACTCCTTTTCCTGCAGTATTAGCTCCTGCACAGAGCTTTATTGTCTCATCCAAAGTGCTGTTTCCTCGTCGCTGAGCCCACATCTCTCCTCTGCTACAAAAGCATGACCTACCCAGCACTCCAAACTTTCTCTGGATCCTTCCAAGTCCTCCCCATAATCAAGCAAGTTCTTCACAAAGTTCATGACTTGGCAAACTGCTATTCACCCCCAGCCTGCATCCCCAGCCTTAGAAACAACTGAAACTGTTAAGGCTTGGAGTGAGTTCAAACTCACCCCTGAGGAGTAGAGTAGTCTCTGCCTGAAATGAAATAATCGTTGTTTGAATCCCACGGGAAGCCCCAGCATCATCTCAATCCAATGAGGGCCTTGAGGCCACTGTCCCCGGATGTCAACATGGTTCCACTAACCTGATGTTCATTTTGACTCCTTCCAGTTCAAGGAGGGAGTTGGGATATCTTTCCTTAGCCTTGCAAAAACACTTCTTGGGCGTTTTATTTGATCAGCTACACAACTTTCTACAACACAGTCAACATGTAGATAACATGACAATTTTTTACTGATGTGAGTTGGATGGATGACCACTTTCTTTGGCAACAGCCAATTTCTGAAAGATTAACTCCTCAGTACAGTGCATGAAATCCCATCATGAAAAAATAAATACCAAGTGTTAGACAGTAAGCTAGGATGCTTTGTGTTCATATTTAACTCAAGAAGAAACATCAGTTTTCAGTGCCAGTATCCCACTCTCTTATTACTTTGAAGATGAAGAATAGCACTTAATATTTGATGTTCAGAATAAATCTAATGGAGTTGAGATTTTTGCAGCAGCTCTTCATGGTTCTGAAATCAAAGAACCTACACTATATCGTAGCAATGATGAAACTATTGTGCAATTCAAATACAGGCTCAACATAGCTCAAAATCAGTACCAAGTTATTAATGTTTCTCCTTCAATCAAAACCACTGTTTGGATAGATGAGTCAGGATTCAATTCAGTAAAAGTGCCAGAGAGCAGATAAGATACCTTTACAGGAAGGGTTTTTAAGACTTGAATCTGGCATGGGACTACTGACATTTCAGTGTCTTTGCAGATGCTGCTTATTCCCCGTTATTCTGAACATTCCCTCAGAGCACACACTCCTCCTTTTTCATGGAGAAGGGACAGGGGAATTAATTCTTGATTGTGGTTTATATCCAGCTTGAGTTTCATACTTTTCAGAGATTAATTCTTGCCTAATCCAAAACCATCCTTAGGAAAAAGCAGTCTGCCCCACAGCAAGCATCCCCAGGTTCAAACTCAGCCCAGCTGCACCCGCTGAAAAAAGATACACCAGGAAAAGGAAACTACAGCGATTAAGCCTGGGCCTCCTCTCACCCGCTCTGGGGCAGCCAGGATATCTGGGCAAGAAATCTGCTAATAAACACTCAGAATCACTAACTAGAAACTGCAACAACAGAAGGACTCTGTATTTATAAACAACCCCGTGTATTACAACACAGGCTGAAGCTGTTGAATACTGTCTGTTGATCTTCCGGAGTACTTTGAAGATTACCTGGAAGCTGATGTTAAAGCACCAGTGTAACACAGGGTCTCAGAAAACACAGCAAAGTTTTCTGATAATCAGAGTAAGAGGTTCGAGTGCCAAAGCTGTAGTTGGCCCTGTGCTGAGAAATAGCTTTCAATGTGGTTAAAGCAGCAACTTCTGTTGTAATCCTGGTGGTCCAACACCAAGGAAGGGCATAAAGCTGGCAGCACAAAAACGAGCAAACTTTTCCCAGCCAACATTCATTTCAAACAAATTCCTTCTCCCTCATCAGTCCAGATGATAGTATTGCATTCACAAAGACAGATCTCATAGAGGTTGTTATCTCTGCCAACATGTCCTGCTCAAGCTCTCTGAAGTGTTATGTGCAAATTAGACTCCCTGCAGATCCTGATTCTTGCCTTTGGTGTGATGCTATTAGAGCACTCGTGACACAAAGTAGGAGAAGAGAGAGATGTCCAGGTCTCTGCTAATCCCTGTGGGCTCCCATTGGTCCACATGGAAACCATCTTCACACTGAGGGAGCTCAAGCTGGTGCTCATGGCTGATTTTTTGATGCCTACATTGTGCAGACGAACACCCACAAAGTGACCTGATCCACAATTTCTTGCGGCAGCCCAAGGGCGCTGGGGATTGATCTGCAGCAGCTAGAGGGTTTCCCCGAGGAAACCTTGGGAAACAAGTGCATGGCACAGCACGAACCACAGCCCACACACGCATGGGATGCTGCACCCCTCACTGGACCTCTCCCTCACATTACTGGTGATCGGGCCATAATTTGCTCTTAAATTTACTCTGCCACAGCTCATCTTTGAGAGAGTCAACAATTTTAAGCAATTCTATTCCCAGCACACAGACGAGAGAGGCCTTGAAGGAACCCATACCTTAGTGCAGCATCTGCAAAATGAGCAATACGCCGTCTGCACAGTATCCCTGCAAAGCACAGGGGAAAAAGCCACACGAAAGGGTTGTCATGCTGTCATCAGGCCTTTAGGCCCCACATCTGGACAAAACAGGGTCGAATCAATTAGATTTGCAGAGGCAACTTGAACTCCCAGGTTCCCAGCCGCACGCTGGCCCATCACGGCCTCAACGGCCGCTGTGGCTGCTTTGGACACGTATCCGCAGGGAGTCAACCCGGGGTGCAGGCATCTCCCTTGAAACCACCCTGTTTCGAGGGACATGGCACCCTGGCTGCATATTTTACCCAGCCAAACCTATATCCCTGTCCCTGGCGCCGCGCACATTACCAACTTGCTGTGCAGCCAGACGATCCTGACAAATTGACTTTGGAATTAATTCCCCTTTAAACCTTATCTCCAAGATTACTATTGCTATCAGAGCAGGCGAAGAAAGGCTCCATCAACTGCAATTTCTTCTGCAGGGGCAGTGATGAAAAACAAAAAAGAAGCCCACAAATCACCCAGACTGTAGGCAAATGTAATTGCGTGCAGTGCTTCATATTTACATTTCTGGATTAATTCTGAGCCAGCTATATAATCTTTTAAGAGCTAAAATGAAACTGGATTCAGCTGTGCAATGATGTGATTATCTCAGGAAGGAAGAGAAGAAAAATAAAACATTTCCTACAGTTAGAGTTCACAAGAACAGACAGATCCGTAACCAGAGATACCCCCTTATCTATAACCGCACACACCTCCCGCTCTGCTACAGAAAGCAGCAGTTTTCGGCTGACACACTGGGGATCGCTGGAGTGGTGTGAAGCTGCCAGCCACTTTCTTTTGCTTGTGTGGTGTTGCGAGTCCTAAACACGCATTTCTCACAGCACTGATTTACCAGGAGGAATAGCTGCCCTGCACAGGGGAGCTTTTATACAGAATCTAAGAGTCTAAGACTGTCCCAAAGAAATGCTCTTTTTCCCCCCCTTTCCCTCGCATTGGTTGGAATTGGCTGGCACACAGCATGTGTAACTGCGTGAGGACAAGCGAGTGTGCTCCGAGCAGAGCACAGGAACGGCAGGGTTAACCAGGCTCCATTCATAAATCCATATCGGACCCGGATAATGAAATCACCAGGTTCCTAATCTGCTGCTACAACTAATCCAGTTCAGCATAAAATCCAGAAGGCTTTTAAAGACAGTAAGACTTTGGAACAAAAATAAAAAGGAGAATGTAGTTGCTCAGCTACACAGACATTAAACTAGAGAAAATAAAAGCCCTACACTAAAGCAATAGCTATACATCCTTTCCTTCCTCCCAAAGGAAATGCTTTCCCACTGAGAACTAAATGACTTTTAGATTTATTTTTGATTGGTTTTGCATAAACTCCTTAAGGTAAGGAAAATAAATGCAGCACGTTCCTTTCCATGTTCTCTTCCATTTAGTTTAATTCAGTTACTACCACACAACGTAGTTACATCAAAAACTGCATCCTTTCTGCTCGACCCCATCTAGCAGGTTAGATGCAGTCGTTGGCAGCCCGTATCCTGCGGTGAACAACCCGCACCCAGCAGCGCGGCGCTCGAGGTAACCGGATTAGATGTGTAAGAGCATCCCCCGCGCCGCGCTGCCGGCATGCAGGCCCGAGTCTGCTTATTAGTTGCTAAATAAATGGAGGTTCCTGAACCACATTTCCGGGCATCCCTCCTCAAGCGCAGCGGGAATTCAAATCCAGCAGCCATGGGCTGGTCGAGCTCGCAGGCACCTGTTTTGTTGCTGGGAACAGCCTGGCACCTCCACAGCTCTGCTCACCCAATTTCATGCAAATCATCCTGCTGTCCCCTCTGGATTTTGCTCCTTTATTTTCTGGAAACAACTTAACAAACTATCCTCCACTCAGTCAGAGTGCTGGACAGAGGACATTTGCTCCTCTGATTTAAGGACACTTCTGCTCAGTCCATCTCCGTGCAGGTGACACAAACTTTCAAGAAAGGAAGGAAAGAAAAACCCTTGCATGGAAAAAGCTTTTGCTTAAATGCAGCCATCCCGCCTAGGGCCCAAGTGCTCCCCTGCGAGGGATGCCTGGCCAATCACTTTCCGCATCCTTCCTTTTTTTTCCTTTTTTTTTTTTTTAAAAAAAAAACTCTCCCAAAAAACAAAACACACACACACACAAAAAAACTCTCCCAAGCACGTGTTTTTTCTTTCCCACAACAATTTTTCCTTTCTTTCCTCTTTTTTTTTTTTTTTTCTTCCCTTCCACAGACCATTTTACTCTCTACAGACCGTTTTTCCACCCATGAACCTTCTTTTCTTTTAACCACCACAGGCCATTTTCCCGACCACAGGCGTTCCTTATCCTCACGGACCGTTCTTTTTTCTCCCCACGGGTGGGCATTTTTTCCTTTTCCACCAGCCCTTTTCTGTTTCTCCCTCCACAGACCATTTTTTCCCCCAACAGACCCTCTTCTGCCCACGGGCATTCTTTTTCCCCACCGACAGTTCTTTCCTCCCCACGGGCCGTCCCTCTCCTCCCCGCCGTCCCGGCCTGCCTTTCCCTCACGGACCGTTATCTTTTCCCCACGAGGGAGCGTTTTCCTTTTAGCACTGTTTTCTACTCCACGGACCGTTTCTTTCCCCCTCAACGGGCCGTTTCCCGCCCTCCACACCGCTTCTTCCTCCCAGGACCCTTCTCTTCTCACGGACCGTTCCTCCCCCCGCTCCACAGCCGTTCCCCCTC